AAGGATCCAATCAACCCAAAAGGGTGGAGAACTCACCACAGACATCGTGACATCCTCTAATTGTTGGCATTTGGTTCAGTTTACGTATTCAGATGGCTAATGGCATAGAATCTTTCTGTCAATTCAAGTTTGGGTGCACTATTGATGGGATTTGGTTCAGTGGGTTCATTTCTCCAGTAGTTTGGCTCTGTGGTTGATTCACTGCAGATCTCTTGATTGGGACTAGCATTGGGTCCCGAGCTCGCTGGGTTCGGGGGGGGCCATCGACTCCCATGAGTTGATTCGAGGCTGGGCCAGCCTTCGTGGATTGCCATGCAGGCGCAACATGTCAGAGATTGAAGAACATTGAGCAGAAATACTGGCGACAGTCGCCAGTGTTTCTTCTTTTGCTTCTTGTCATGCTGCTACTGCAACTGTTGTTGCCAGTGCCATCATGTTCCATTGGCCGGCGGTGGTCGCGGCGGCGGTGGAGCTAGTTTTTTGTTTGTCGCGGTTGTTGAGTTGGACACTGTGTGTCATAGTGAGGTTTGATTATTGTTGACTCATCACACCTGTTTGAATAAAGTATAGATAGTTCATCCCCACATGTTGGATCAAACCAGCGTTGGTGATTGGAGAATCCTCTGAAAAAATAAGTTTCAAGACTGTGCAGTCTTCAATGATAGTAGGGTTGCATGGGTTGCAAGAGGGAAGTGTGAGAGAGGGAGAAAAAAAAAACAATGTTAGAAACCTTTGTTGCTATTTGTTATCTCCCGTTTACGCAGCCCTGATGCATTTTGTTGAGGTCACACTAACACCGAATTTTCCCGCATTGGAGGCTTCTTTGCTGCCTCTGCAAGTGCATCCTGCCAAGTTCTGACCAGGACAAAACTGACAGCTCTGTGTGTTGGTCAGTTTCCTGAGAGCAGTCAGACCCAGTGGTCCATGAGATGGTCCATAGAGTCTTTGAGAGGGTCTTGCGCAAGCTTCCTCCAGAAATGAAACCCGAAACGTATAGCTACTACTTGATCAGGCTAGGGCAGAAAAACCAAGATTGTCTTAAGATGCCTCTGTAAGGAAGGGAAGGAAGGGAGTGGTTTTGCTCGCCTGTGCCACCAGCGTCGACCTTGTATAGGAGACTCGAGAACCTTGGCAGATGGCAATGGCACAGACAAAGATGGCGCAGCAGACCGCTATGACGCAAGCAGTGATGCAGCAAGCTATGGCACAGCAATCAGCCATGGCACAGCAGGCTGCGCTTGCACAGCAATCAGCCATGGCACAAGCTGCAGTACTTCAAGCAGCACCAGGACGGGTTGCCTTGGATACCTTGGATACTTCATCATATCGAAAGATCGGAACATCTGACGAGATGAAGTGGTAACTAAATGGTCTAACTTTTTCAGCTGTAGAACTTCTATAGAATCATCTAGAGCTATGCTGAAGAACTAGCACGTCCCCCAGAAGGGGCTGGTTTGCCTGGTCTGAGACATCTGCACTGTGAACCCAGGACCAGTTTGGACCCACGTCACACCACAAGGTCCAGACCTTGAAGAAGGTGGGACTCTTTTATTTCGACGCGTGCGTTTGGACCGCTGCTTCGCCTGAAATCAATCCTTCGGATGTTAACGATTGAACAGAAGCCATGCATGGAATCGGACGCGGCTTCGAAGTCACGCCGCGCGAACGCGCCACGACCGTGAGACCGTTCCAGGTGCCGGACCCCCACGGCAGAAGGTCCGCAGTGTGCGGCTCCCTGAGGTTCGGAACCGTTTCGTTAGTTTTTGTTTAGGTTTAGAAAAGGGTTTATTATATTTTTATATTATTATACTGCTCAATATGACTTTATATGCCTTCTAGATCTTAGACCTCACCATTTTTGGACTGGCAGGCCAAGCTTGGATGGTTCTTCACATTGAAGCATAATATGGAACTTGATTTGGACCGTGGGATTTGCATGGATTTGCAGTGCTTCGAGTGTCTAATTTAAAACATGATGTTATCAGGGTGCTGGCGATCATATCGATAGACAGATCACCCGTTGATGAAAGAAGTCGTTCGCACCATGGCCTATGGCCTTTCATGGCCGCAAATAGCCATTCATGGCTCATGGCCATCCATGGCCCCACATTCCGTCCGCATCTCTGCATGCAGGTGACCCCACCACCTTGCCGCAGCAGCCGCCGCATCCAGGCGTGGCTGACGCACGACGGAGGACAGGTGAGGATGTGCGCAGTCGAAGGCGACGGTGTTTTATGCAGTCTTGAGAGTTCTAAGTGATTTCTCATGATCTTCGATGATTTTCGTTCATTGGCTGCCAGAAAGTTGAGGACGTAGGCAATTTGTGAGAATTTTGGTGCTTGTTTAGCTCACGGGTATTGGTCATTGGTAGTGACTGACAGCGTCACGCCTTTCTCGGTGGCTCTGATGTGCTCAGCAGTCCTCAGGCAACGACCAAGCCGAAGCCCGCGAAGAAGGCATTTTGGGGAAAGGGATGTGGGATCTGAAACGAAAACCAGGCGGTGAGATGAACCCTCAAGAATTCTTGGGTGCCAAAGAAGGAAGGCTCGCATTGCCGCATGGATGCAGACCAGGCCAGCGGGACCTATCGGGGTTGTTTTCCTGGTCAAACACAGACCCAACACTTCACCGATCGATCGAAGATTCCATCGTTTTTCCCGATTCAAACACAACTGAAACGACTCGATGAAGCCGGATGAAGCCGGATGAATTGGCGGGTGGACCAGACGCGTGGTCATCAAATCAGCGGAACGAGCGCAGGGATCGAACCGCTTGAAGCTGGGAGTTCTGAGTATGTCCAATCTAGATATGGGCTTGTCCTTTTTTAATCTGTCTAGTTTATGTAGGGATGGGATGTTCGACTGGGAAGCATACCCCGAATCATCGAAGCATACCCCATAGCCATAGTCAAACATCCCGGCCAACGTCCAAAACATGGTAACCCATATTAGCTCTGCAGGTGTTTTGTTGTCGCCAGATTCCGAAGTAAACCCTTGTGAAGAATGATTGTAGAGACTTGAAGAAGCCTTGCTGTAGCTGCTTCAAGCAGGAGAATACGCAACCTCACTGTCTGATTTAAAGCCACCAGCTGCTGTAAACACACCGTGGACAAGCGCCTACAACGAGTGCTTCTTGGTGACAACTTGTGAATACGATTTTCATTCAAGCTGTTTGCACTGACCCCGACTGTTGCTCCATTACCAATACCCTCCAAGCTTCCAGTCATTGTTGGGTTTAACGGCTCGGAGCATACAGAGAACTGTGCAGAAGTATGCGGTGCCATTGGCCCCATTCATATGGGCCCATTTGGCTGGGAGCATGCATGACAGTAAAACTATGGCATGTTGGGGAATCTGCGGTTGTTGCTGTGTGACGTCAACGGATGTGTTGGCGATTCTGCTTCAATGTGTGTGTGGAAAAACCATTCGATGCGCAAGTTTTGGATGTTACCGTTTGGGAGGATCCGTTCCATCGTTGGATCTTGTCGGTGCGGCTCCTACTGCTTTGTTGAGACAAGAAGGTGCTTTGGCACACAGTTCGCTGGGTGTGGCAGCATGTCCACCTTGTCACAGTTGCGACATTCGCATGTGATGCAGTACATCCTCGAGGTCAATCACGGCCGGCGCATCAGCTTGGCCATCCTGTTCGGGTCCTGATGACAGCAAGACGTTTGGGCTAAAGTGCTCGCTGGGGATGTGTGCGAGTGCGCTCGTTTTGGCATGCCGGAAGGGGAGGTCATTCCGCAAGACGAAAGCAGTGACCATGGCTGCAGTCTTCCAACACAGTCTTTAGCGGGAACTATCAGCAATTTGCCGTGGACTGAGGCAAGAGTTTCTTTCTAAAGGATGCGCTCTTGCTTCAGGAAGATATGTGACTTTTCCTCCTCTTTTGCTGGCTCTGATGGCTGGTTTTGACTGAGCTGTGTGGCATGATTTCAAACACTCTTTGCATCTCTTTGCCCTTTGTTTTACCGTGTCAAAGCACCACCAGAGGATTTGCCTACATGTCTCAAGGAGTGTCTCAAGGCAGGCAGCTGCCAAGCAAAGGCTGAACTGAACTGAACCAGAAGCAAGACAAGGTG